TGTACTCCTCTTTTCCCTGCACTTCATTCACGTTTGTGTCTCGTTTTGTGCCGAGCACATTGTGAGCATTTCTTACGTGCTCTGTCTCTGAGTCCTTTGTCCGTGTCTGTGGCGTCTGTATTCCCAACCTGTGACTTGCCTTCTCCTTGTTTAAACAGCATTCTTTGAGGAATGACTGTTTTATTTTATGCTTAGTGCTTTCTTTGTCCTGATTTAGAAGACTTGACCTGACCCACGAAGATTTTCACTTGCCTCTTTAGGGAGTTTCTCCTTTCACTATAAGTCTGTGATATTTCGGATTACTGTTTTTGTATAGTATGAGGTAGGGGTCAGGTTTCTGCCCCACCCATCATATAAGACGTCCCCTGTTCCAGCACCAGGTGTTGAAAAGAATACCCCAAACTCTTGATGTATGTGCATGCTTTTTCCAAAATTCATTCACTTTATGTGTTTAGATGTATTTTTCTAATCCTAAGTCTTTATGACAGTTTCCAATGTATTGCTCTAGCATGTATTTTGTAAATTTACCCCTAAATATTTTGTGATTTTGGATGCTATTGTAAATGCTTATTTATTTATTTATTTATTTTGGTGGCGCTGGGGTTTGAACTCAGGGCCTCACAGTTGCTAGGCAGTTGATCTACCACTTGAACCACTTCACCAACCCTTTTTGTGTTGGGTTTTTTCAAGATAGGGTTTTGCAAACTGTTTGCCGGGCTGGCCTCAAACCACAATCCCCCCTGATCCCTGTCTCCTGAGTAGCTAGGATTACAGGCGTGAGCCACCAGTGCCTAACTTAAAATCATTTTTAAATTTAAATTTCCACTTATTTTTGCTGATATGTAGAATTACAATTGTGTATTGATTTTTTTCTTTTTTTAAATTATTTGTGTATATTGAGCTTGTATCATGGATCTCGTTTTTGTTTCTAGGGTTCTTTTTGTTTTAAGACAAGGTCTGGTTATGTAGCCCAGGCTGGCCTGGATCTCGAGATTTTCCTGCCTCTGCTTCCCAAGTGTTAGGATTATAGACACGCACCACCGTGTCATATTACTTCTTATTCCAATTATTCTGCATTTAATTTCCTCTTTTTTTTTTTTTTTTTTTTTGCCTTAATGGAAACTTGTATTACTGGGGTTTTTTTGGTGGCACTTAGACTTAAACTCGGGGCCTTATGCTTACTAGGCAGGTGCTCTACCACTTGAGCCACAATTCCAGCCTTGATTTTTAGGCTGGTTTTTCTTTGGTACTACACCCTTTAAAGATAGAAATTTCTCTCTGAGTTCTACTTCTTTGTCACACCAACATAAGTATGCCATACTTTTATTTATTATCTCCAACATAACTCAGAATATTTTTTATTTCTGTAGTGACTTTCTCCTTTGCACAGAGTTACTTAAAAGTATGTTACTTATTTTTCACATATTTGAGAATTTTTTTCTTTTTTTTGGTTGTTTTGCGGGATGAAACCTGGCCCTTGCATGTGCTATGCACGTTTGTACGCATGCTGTACCTCTGCATTACGCCCTCCGTCCTAACTGGTAACAAGAAACAATTTAGTGACTTCTGATTCAATGCTACAAGGCCCAAAGAACATGCTCTCTAAGGTTTTAGTCTACTGTAAAAGTTTGAGACTTACTTTATGCCTCGTATATAGCCGAATATGGGCTGGTGGAGTGGCTCAAGTGTACAGCACCTGCCTTACAAGCATGAGGTCCTGAGTTCAAACCCCAGTGCTACAAAAAAAAAAAAAAAACCTAGAAATGTGGTCTAAATATAATAACTATAATATTATTTCCAGTTAGGTCAAGGTGATTGGTAGGCATTCTGAGTTCTTTTGGTGTTTGTTTGCTTACTTGTTCTATTTCTGTCTGGTTACTGTAAGGTGTTAAACTCTGCAGCTATGGTGAGGATATTTCTGTTCTTTTGTCTGGTTCTGGTTTTGCTTCCTGGCTTTTGAAGCCCTGTTATTAGGTGCACACATACTTAGGGTTCTAAGCTGTCTCAGTGCATCATTCTGTTTTATTTCATCTATTGGCTTTTTGTTTATTTGTTTATTTTTTGGTGATGCTGGGGTTTGAACTCAGGGCTTCATACTTGCAAAGCAGGTGCTCTCCTGCACCTGGCAAGAGTGTATTATTTATTTTACACAAGTTTGATTTCCTTCTGTAATTGATTTATAATTCTATTGTGATTGGAGGAGACATCGGAGTAATACCTATATTTTTAAATCTATTGAGGCTTGATTTGTGGTATAACATGTTTTGTTTTGGAAAATGCCCTCTGGGTGCTGGAGGAGAGCATGTGTGCTGTCATTGCTCATGCTGGTTAGAGCACTGGGCTGTCTGTCAGTTTGCCTGGTTTTATGTTCTTAAGTCCCCAATCTCCTTATTCTCTTTTTTCCAGGAGGGACAATTCTGGGGTTTGAACTTGGGCCTTGCACTTGCTAAGCAAGTGCTCCAGTACTTGAACCACAAGCCCAACCCTTTTTGCTTTACTTACTTTTCTAATAGGGTCTTGTTGTTTCTGATAGGCTCCTCCTGTTTATGCTTCCCTCCCTGCTGGGATGACAGGCACACACCACCACGCCCAGCTACTGGTCCTGGGCTGGGATCCTCCTGAGTTCTACCTCCTGAGTAGCTAGGGTTACCAGCTTGAGTGTCACTGTTCCCAGCCTCGGTTTCCTTATTTTCTGTTTGGATTTTCCTGTCCATTATTGAAAGTTAGATATTAAAGTCTATATATGCCCTTTTTCCCCACTCCACTTCTGTGTTCTTTGAAAAGTAGTTTTAGAGTTAAAGGCCTCGTTTGTTTATTTTAAAATGGAATTCTAGATTAAATACTCTAGAACTGAAGAAGCTGACACAGTGTGAGGCCCACTGCTTCCGCCTTCTGCCTGCCCTGTGTGTTCTGGGCACTTCATGGCCTTTTCTTATGCCCCCATGTCCCTCCTCTGCACGTGCATCCTGTGTTCTGCTGCTGCTCCTCTGGCACTGCCCAAGAGGCAGCGCGCGTCCAGGCTCACTGAAGTCTGCACTGACAGCTTCTAGCTACGCCAGCTGTACGGGCAGCACTCTTGCTCCATGCAGTACACACCTCTTGGGATTCTTGTTTATTTGTTTTGGGTTTTGTTTTTTGAAACAGGGCCTTACTATGTGACCCAGGCTGGCCTGGAACTCAAGGTCCTCCTCCCTTAGCCTCTGAATGCTAGGATTACAGACATGGGCCACCACGTTGGGCCTCTTTGGGCTCTTGAGGGAGCAGATTCTGATCCAGCGGGACCAACACAGTTACCAAAAGGGGCTGCTGCTGGAGTAGCAAAGCATGGGACTTGAGCTCATGTGTCTTTCTCTGCCTCTGCTCCCATGCTTCCCCTACTCACACATGGCCCCACAGGATGCGGGGACCATGCTCACTGGCGGTGTTCACTCAGCACCCACCATTGATTACCCTTTGCTCTATGCTTCTGTGTGGATCACTGTCCTCAACACACTAGCTTCTCTAGTATTTCCTTTAAGGGGGCCCTCCTGGTGGTGAATCCTCTGTTCTTATTTGCCTACATTGGCTTTATTCTTGTCTTTATTTTTGAAGAGTACTCTCATGCAGACAGAACCTTGCTGTGACAGCAACCTCAGATACCCTGTGCTCCCAGCCTTTCTGCTAGGTGTCAGCTGTGAATCTTGTCACTGCTGTGAGAATAATGTCCCTTCTCTGCTCCTTTCGTGTGCCTGTTTGCCTTGCTTTAGATTATCAGCTATGGTGTGATTCAAATCTGTGGCTTGATGACTTTTGTTAAGTCTCAGAAAATTGGCCATGTCTCTTCAAGCATTGCTGGGTTCCCTTCCTCCTCATGGAGCTGTGCTTACACGTAATTAGGACCAGGAGTCTCCACTGTGTCTCTTCACCTTGGTGTCCCTTCCCTCCCTCTCTCTAAACTTCATTCTAGGCGTTTCTGACTGACCACTTTCCAGTCCTGTCTTTGGCTGTGCCTAACCTGTTTATTCCCTCATGGGGGACTTGGTGTGAGTTATTACAGTGTTCAGATAAAGAAGCCCCTTTTATCCTCCTTGGCAGACTCCAACTCTGTGCTGAAATTGTCCAGTGTCTCCAGGAACTCTGGGATTGTCACCCCTACCTAGAGCAGAGTCTGTCTGCATTTCCCTGCTTGCTTTTGATCCTGTCACCTCGTGAGTTAGGCAGTTCCTTTTCCCTGAGTTCTAGTCATTATGAAGGGACACTGTAAGAGAGGACTTGGGCTTTGTCTGAGGCCCTCTCACCATGGGCACTTGTAAGCCTGGGCTGGATTTGAACCACACTTCCTGGGTTGTCTGTGCTTAGCTCTCACTCTTCTTCTGGCCTTCTCCCCGACAGGCCCAAATCTAAGAAAGCTCTGCTCGTTCTTCAACCCTTGGCCATCCTGTCCCCAGCCCCAGCCTGGATGTCCCCTGCTTCACTCCTCCTGGGGCCATGGTGCCTTTAAACGCTTCAATGTCTGACTTTTCTGGCTTTCCTCCGCTAGAGGCCTGGGGCATCTCAGAGAAGTCTACATAGCCAGACGGGACCCTTGCAGACCACTGGCCCTTGGAGTTGTGTAGCCATTTGTGTCATGGTCACACTTGTGCTGCAGCATCTCTGCACAAGGTCTGTTGGAGTCAGGACATAATTGTGCTGCTCACATTCTTCTGAAAACAGCGTAATTTACTCTGGTGGATAGTGACTCCAAAGGTGCTACATCTGTGAGTTTGAGCTGCCTTTGGAAGTGGATGGTCACACCACAGGAGAGCTCCGATCAAGTGTTAGGAAGCAGAAGACAGGTGGCTTCTGGATGGCTGAGCTGAGACCAGCCCATTCACCACTGGTCTCTGGAAGTGACTGAGGGGCCAGGGCCAGAACTCCTGGTAACTGTGGCCAAGCCTCATCACTGTGGGGACCAGGACAGTGCACAGGTGGGTGCTCTGGTGTTTGGTAAACTTAGGTGCTTTGTTTTGTTCTCTGCTCAGATTACCCGAAAATTCAGACTGAATTCTGAAGGCAAACTTGAACAGACCGTCTCCATGGCAACCACTACACAGCCAATGACTCAGCATCTTCATGTCACCTACAAGAAGGTGACCCTGTAAACCGCAGCGAGTTCCCAGCTCTGAGAGGGCCTGGCTCCTGTGTCTCGTCCCAACGGTTCAGGTCCTGCCACAGGTGTGGTGTGGCCGCAGGCTCGGCTGGGCCAGGAGTGTTGTCCAGATGTTGCTGTAATGGCGTAGAAAACCAAATAAAGGCCTTTATTTTTATGGCTGAGGGCTTGAGTGTTGTCACTTGTGTAGACTGTGTATTTTTTACCTGTGTCTTCCAAAGTCTCTCCCCCAAGAAATTAGGAAGGAATGACTCCCTCTTTCTGTCCTCCCTGCCCATCTCACATGTCCTCCTCCTCCAGGTTTTGTTTTTGTTCTTACTTTTTCAGTCCTGGAGATCAACCCCATGCTAGACAAAGTGCTGTACCCCTGACCTCTTCCTACAGCTTTTGTTTTGTTTTGCTTTGGAGGTGGTGGTTTGTTTGCTAGGACCAGGGTTTGAACTCAGGACTTCCCGCTTGCAGAGCAGGTGCTCTACCTACCACACCTCCAGTCCATTTTGCTCTGGTTGTTTTGGAGATGCAGTCATGCAAACTATTTAGACAGGCGGGCCTTAAACCTTCATCCTCCCAAGTACCTAGGATTATAGGTGTGAACCACCAGTGCCTGGCTTGCTTTGGGGTTCTTTGTTTTGTTTTTTGAGTCCAGTATCACTATGTACACCAGGCTGACCTGGAACTCACAATGCGCCCAGGTTAGTCTCAAACTAGTCAGCCTCCTGCCTCAGCCTCCCAAGTGCTGGAATTATAAGTTTGTGCCACTACCATGGCCAGTGGAATTCCTGCACTTTGACAAGATTTAAAATACTTAAACACCTTCAATAGGTGTTGACAAGTTAAAGACAAAAGATGGAAACAAGCCAAGCATGGTGGCTCAAGTCTGTAATCCCAGCTACTCAGGAGGCTGAGATTGGGAAGCTCTTCATCCTGGGTCTGCCCAGGCAAAAAGTTCCAAAGACCCTCGTCAACCAATAAGAAGCTAGGCATGGAGGCCCAAGCCTGTCATCCCAGCTTCATGGGAAGTAAAAGTAGGAGTATCAGTCCAGGCTGGCCTAGGCATAACACAAGACCCTATTTGAAAAATAACTAGCGCAGCCGAGTACAATGGCTCACACCTACAATCCTAGCTACTTGGGAACCCGAGATCAAATGGATGGTGGTTCGAGTAAACCCTAGCAAATAGCTCCAGAGACCCCATCTCAAAAATAACTACAGCAATAAATGGATTGGTGGTGTGGCTCAGGCAGCATAGTGCCTGCTCTGCAAAGAGTGAAGCCTGAGTTCAAACCCCGGCCCCACAAAAAAGAAAAGAAGAAAAATAGTTAAAGCAAAGGGCCCCTCATCACTTCTGAGACGAATCCAGCTGGGCGCTGGTGTTTTACACCTATAATCCTAACCCCTTGGGAGGATGAGATCAGGGGGATCAAGGTTCGAGGCCAGCCCAGGCAAATAGTTTGCAAGACCCCTTCTCCACAATACCCAGAGCAAAATGGACTGGAGGTGTGGTTCAAGCAGTAGAACACCTGTTTTTCAAGCACAAAGCCCTGAGTTCAAAACCCAGTTGTACCAAAAAAAAAAAAAAAGTCCAAAGCCCTCTCCAATGATAGAGGCTAATTGTGGCCCTCCCAGCACTGTGTCAGCTTGATTTATAACTAATACAGCACTGCTTTTGTTTTGGTTTGGGTTATACAAGTTTCCATATCCAAGGACCCCTGTACCCGTCACCCAGCTCTAGCACCACTTTCCGTACTTTTTTGCTGGAGTATTTGCAAGCAAATTTTAGACATAACGTTTTTTTTGTCATGTATCCAAAAGCAAACCAAAGACTTTCCTTCTTTTTTTTTCGTTTGTTTGGTTTGGTTTGGTTTTTCTTTTTGAGACAGTTGAGTCTTGCTGTATTGCCCAGGCTGGCCTTGAAGTTGAGATCTTCCTTCCCCAGCCTGCCAAGTGTTGGGATTACAGTTATGTTATCACCACACCTAGAAAGCCTTTTTCCTGAAACACCACTGCATCATAAGCCTTGCCTGGTGTGCAGAGACAGTTACACAGTGTTGGGAAACAGGGTCATCATGGCTGATGTCTAGCCCTCAGGGGACATGTCAGTGCATAAGAGCCTGGGCTGGTACCCCAGAGGCTGTGGCCACATGAAAGAACCCAGGAAGCTGGGACCAGAGCTGGCTCTGCTGCCACAGCAATGCTGAGATCTGTCACCTCCTGCACCCAGAGCAGAATGTGGGCAGTGGCACTGGAGTAAGAGGCAAGGTGAACAAATGACATTTTCACAAACCATGTGAGACTTGTCTTAGACGCTGTCCCCAGTCTGGATTCCTGGCCCTCCTGTGGTGTTGGGCCTGTTCTCTGAGTCCTGTGGTCTGGTGGCTGGATCTAAGATCTGGTTGGAGACACCTCTGGGGTGCTCAGTTTGCACTGTAGCATGTGAGGAGGAGAGTCTCACGTTGGGGCAGCAGGGTCCCTTTCTGGACCTAATTTATTTATTCCTTTGTTTTTGCAAGCTTTACCCTGGCCCTTGACTCTGTGGTCAGTTTTCCATCCGCCTTGCACATGGAAGCTTGGTGCACTCTGGGTGAGTTCTGAGGATTGCAGGATAGCCATTGTCTCCTCTCCTGTCACTTCCATGTTCAGTGGCTGAGACTCGCTCAGAAGTTCTCTCATCCATCAGGCTAAACTGCTTTCCATAAGCAGGGCCACTTCAGAAAGCCAGCATGGCACGTAGTTCTTTCCCTTTGGTTATGAAGTTTTGGAATGTGGATGCCTTGGCAACCTCCAGGTTGGTCTACCCAGTGGACCCTGGGGCATTGCTCCTGCCATCTGCCCTTTTGGCCTCCTTCCTGTCGTGAGCCCAGCACTTCCTATATTCCATGTTTTAATTGAGCACTTTTTTTTTTTTTTTTTGTAGACAGCAGGTGCTCAAATCATCCTCTGGTGGACCAAAGCCTTTTGTCTGTGAGCTTTGGATGGCCTCCCCTTCAGGGCCTGCACCAGACTGTGGCCACCTGTTTCCCAGAGCCCTGGTGGTTCTCTCTGCTGGGTGGAAATAGGGACCACAGCTAGGCACATGGGCTCCTCACCCCGGCCATTCAGCCTCCAGGCAGAGCCAGGAGGTTGTTTTGTTTCTTCCTTTATTTTCCTTCCTTCTTTAAATTTTAGCAAGGATTTATTTTAGTATAACAGGATAAAGTAGGAAGAAGAAGGAGGAAAAAAGAGAGAAACAATTTCTGCTTCCCATAGCAGGAAATGAGAGTAAAGACTCAACATGGTGGTTCTGGTCTGTGAGCTTCGCACTTTGAGCTGGTCATGTCGTCTGGCAGCCCCTGGTTTTAATACTTCTGGTGGCGAAGATGGTGCCGATTATTCTGAAACCTGTTTCTTCATCCTTTGTTTTCACTGAACCACATGAGGTTACATTGCAGAGCTGTGACTTCCCCCACCCCAGCCACGTGAAGCGTGCAACAAGTGCATCCAAGATATCTTTAACTTCTATTCAAGTTTTAAAATTATGAAGGGTCTTTTTGTTTATATTCTTTTTATTTCTGTGGTACTGAGGATCAAACCAGGGCCTCCTGCTTGCTAAGCAAACACCACTGAGCTACAGCCCAGCCTCTGTTCTTGGATTTTATACCTTTTCTCTTAAGTTGGAAATCTTGGTTCATTAACATTAGTTGCTTTATCCCATGGATATGTATAATCACTTCAAAATATTAAGTTACTAACAATAAGACTGCTGATTAAAGTTTCATTTTGGCAATTCTCTGTATTTCCTGTTGAAGACATAGTTAAAATGTTAATGGAGTAGTTAATTTCTGTGCTGTCTCTAACTTGCACATGAGCTCAGTTTAATGTCTGCAGATTGATTGAGCTCTTGTTCAAGTTAGTTTTGCTCCTGCAAATCATGTGACATGCCTTCCTTGTCAGAATTGTCAAGTAAGGTACGTTTGCTCCCATGCTGGTGTGGCTCTGCCTGGGACCCCATTAGGACCCCAATATAGGACACAGGGCTGTTCACAAGCTTTTGCTTGTCACGTGATGGCACAAGCAGCAGCTGTGTAGGTGTCATTTTGGATTTCGCCATTGTATCTTCGGGGTACGCTGGCATGCTTAGGGGTTCTTTCTCCATGGGGGTATACACACTGGAGATGTGCCCACACCCACGGACAGCAAAGACCAGTAATAAATTTAAATTTGGGCCAAGCTAGTAGGTGGGAAATGGAGTTTTAGGTAGATTTGGTTTGCATTTCTCTTGTATCTTTTTCTTCTTGATTTTCAGAGCTCGTGGGCACTTGGGTTTTTGTTTTTAATTAGCAAAGATTTATTTAGGGAGAAATAGTAAGGGAAAAGAGCACTCCTGACACACGTAGGAACAGAGAGAGCTCACACATGATTTCTTTGAATTAGGAACATTAACCCCAATGTCCAGTTTTTATTAACTTTTAATTAAGAGTCAGCATTTTGGCCATCTGAAAGTGGACAGTTCGGTCTATTCAGTACAATCGTGGTGGTGTGCAACCACCACCTCCACTTCTGCAGCTTTCACCACCCCAGCAGGAACCCCGTTAGCCCCTTACACCCTGTTCTGCCTACCCCAGCCCGACAACCAGCATTTTTGAAAATGTTAAGTGTTATCAACATTTTGTTCCACTGTGTATTTTGTCTTTATTATTCCTGGATTTAGAACCATATTAGAGAAAGATTCTGCCCACTCTCCAGTTGGAAAGGATTTAACCCGTTTCCCATTTTCCCTAGTGTCACTGTCTTTTATTCTTAGCCTTTGCTCTACTTGGAGCTTACCATGGCGTGTGGGATGCAGTGCAGCTCCATCGTCCTTCCAGCTGTCAGCCATCGCCCCAGCATTTACCAGCAAGCCCATCTTCTCCTTTATCTCAGACTTGACTTTCTCGACGTAGGGTCTGGTTCTGGAGTCTCCATGTTCCTGGGCCTGCCCGACTTCATTTGTGCTGGTACCACATGGTTCCATGGAGGCAGGTGGACTAGGCTCTCCCTATTTCCCTTCACTTTGTGAAGTTTCCTGGCTGCTTTTTGCGCCTCCCTCACCCCCTCCTCTCCTCTCCTCTTCTGTCTCTCTCTCTCTCTATCACACACACACACACACACACTTTATAATTAGCTTGTTTAGATTTAGGGGAAAACATTCTGGTGTTTTTATAAGGATTACATTTAGGTTTATGCTGCCCATACAGAGAGCTGTCTTTGTGAGAGAATTTTCCCACCCAAGTTTCTGTCTGTTCAAATCTACTTTAAGGTATTTTTAGCATTTTTCTCAGACAGGAGTTAACATTCCTTGTTCCACTAATGCCTCAGACTTTCTTTTATCTTTTTGTTGCTGTTGAAATAGGTCATCTCCCCCACCGTGTCCTCTAACCAAGTGTGCACACAGATCCTGATCTCTGTGCTCTTCTGAGTTCTCAGTGTTGAAGCATTGCTTTCCTGTGCTGGAAAGAGACCAAAGGATTTGCTCCAAGAAACGTTAGGTCAGATACCTGGCAGGTGAGGCAGCTTGGGTATCAGCATGGCCCCACCCTTCCCTTCATCTGCCGTCCCTCCACCGGACAGGCGATGCAGACGCCCCCCCATCTGGTAGGACTGTCCACCCTGCAAGCAGCATGATAGGAGCGGGCAGGGCTTCACAAGAGAGGAAGGAGCCAGGAGAGCAGCAGGGGTCCTGGAGGAAGGTCCTGGGGAGGGCAAGTGTGAGGCAAGGACTCATATTGGAGAGGGTGGGGCTCAGGGACCTTGTGCATAAAAACATCTTCCTTCAGGACTCTTGTTGGGCAGGGCTAGAGATCTCAGCAGTTATCTGGCTCAACCTTGTGCTGTCCAGAAGAGGAAACAAGCAGAGAGGCCAGGTGTCCACCTTCCAGCACTGTCCTGTGCCCCTAGCAGGAGTTGTTTGGGCCTTAAGAGAAAGTCCTTACATCAGAAAGCAGAGAGGGTGGGACCTGTGGTGCGGCTGCTCAGGAGGTATGTGGGGACTCAGTGAACGGGGTGAAAATGAGCTGGACACTGGTGTGAGTGCATGTGCACACTCACACTTGTCTGTTCACAGGGAAGCAGAAGACAACCTCCATACAACAAAGGGATGAATCGCACCCCGCCCCCGAGATCTCAGAAGCCCCCACCCCAGTGGATGGATCCAAAGTGTCAGTCAGCCCTGCCCTCCAGGACACTCACAGAGGGCAGGAATGCAAAACTTGAGGCCATGCAGCAGATCTGACTTGAGGTCTAGGGAGGCTTGGCGAGGTGGTCTTGGGGCTGGGTCCTGTGAATGACGAGGGGCGGCCGAGGAGTGGGACATCTGCAAAGGGAGGGCAACCCAGGCCCAGTTCCCTCTACACTAAACCAAGGGAGACGGACAATCCCCAGCTGCAGCAATAAATGCAGACCTGCCACTGAGCCCACCCGATCCGACTCTGAGCTCCTTCTGCCATCTCCCACACCTGCAGCGTGCGGTCCCAGGCTTCTGTCCGCGTAAATCAGAAACCAAGTCCGGGGGTGGGGGGGCTTTATGCCTAAGCAAGCATAAAGCCTAGATTCTAATCCCAAACACCACCAAGTGGGGGCAGGGGAACTCAAGGCTCTGGGCGTGCAGCACATCTTCCCGTGGATCCTACTTTTCCTCCCTCATGGGTCCTGCTGGGACTTGCGTCTAGTCACGGGTCTAAAAGCAGAGGAAGAGGAGCCCCCAAAACAGCCCCGTCTTGCAGGGCACCTGCCTCCTGGCAGGGCTTCACCACACCTGGTGCCCCTTATGGTGGTGGGACCCACATCCACTGGCTAAGATGACTCATCAGCATCCAGGGCCTCAGTGTCCCCATCGCAACTCGCTGGGTCCCACTCCTGCCCCGTCGGTGCCCTCATTTTAAGAGGGACCCTCTGTGATGTGCTGTCATCTACCACCCCAAGGATGAGGTTCTGGGTTGGATGCCCTGCAGCTGAAGGACACAGGGATCCTGGGGCAGATGTAACCTCAGGTGGGAGTTCGAATCCCTGTTCGAGCTCATGTTTTTCTTTCCCCATTTTGACCAGGGCAGTTAGGAGCAACCAGGCAGTCCCATGAAACTCCTGTTTGAAGTGTTCAAGGTCAGCCAGACTTGGCCTCTTTCATAGTGAATGAGTCTCCAGTGGTGAGGTTTCGCCTCTTCTGCCATGTCACACTCTGGGCTTTCTGAGCTTTCTGCTGCTGGGAAAAAGGCATTAGCACCTTCAAATCTAACCAGACTAGAGAGCCAGTCCCAGAAACTTTCACCTTCATTAATTCTCAGACAACTCCACACTTTCACTTTCCTAGGTAGACCACCAACGTAGTATGGGTGACTCTATCTAAAATGACAGTGACAGTCTGGACAACTTTTTACCATTCTCTGCTCTCCAGTGGGATGTGAGCATCTCATGATTCCAGGCTGTCTCTGCAGGACCCTCCTCTGCTTGGCATGTGGCCCATCCCAGCACTCAGGCTGGCAGGAGAGCTTAGTGGGGTGGCTTCGAAGGGCAGGCTGCTTGGGGCAGGCAGAGCCTCAGGGTTGGTGCAGAGATTCTGCAGGCAACCCTCTAATGCCACTGGGCTGGTGGGGGTGCCAGAGTCCATTGTGTGTGCCCGGCCTGGGGAACTGTAGCCATCAAGGGCGGCTGCGGGGTGGCTTGGGCGTCTAGTGCACCTTAAAGGGCTTGGCGTCCTCAGATCTAAGTCTTCCCATGAGGACAGGCACAAGGAAAGCAGAGCCAGGGTCCTGTTTGCCCTCCACTGGGTAAAGCTTTTTTATTATTGGGGTCCAGTCCGGCCTTCTTGGCCACAGGATCTTGGCATTCACTGGTCAAGCAAACTGGCCTGGAGCTCCACACTCCTGGTCCCTACCACACAAGGACCCAGCATGGGTCGGGAACACATTCTCCTCTAGAAATGGCCTAAGCAACCAGCACACGAGCCCTATTTTGTGGCCTATGAGAGCCCATGGCTCCTCCAGCTTTGGCCCAGCCAGAGTCACCTTCAGATGACATGTGCAGAGCCTGCTGCCCACAAGGACGGAGGCCAGCTCGTGTCCTGAGATGGCCCCTTCCTGGGGTGGGGCCTGGGGCATCAAATATGAGCATGGTGTTGCCAGAAACTTTCCTTTAGGGTCTGGAGCTGACCCTTTCTGGAGACAGACCACAAGCAACTCCAGGTTCAGGAAAGGCACCCCCCCATCCGTCCCAGATATGAGGGTCTGCAGAGGAACAGGGCTCCAGGTACATGGGGGTCCTGGCTTGGGTGCTGCAAGGGAGCCTTGGTGCAGCCCCTGCCCAAATGGGCAACTCATCTCTCTGGCAACAGGAGGAAGAAGGCGGCCTTCAGGAAGCGGCCAAAACTGCAGATTGCGGCCACAAGCCAATGGGAGCGGAGACCAGGGTCCGTGCTGACCACACACTTGAGGACGTCGGTCTGGGAGGAAAGGGAACAGTTAGAGAGCAACGCCAGGCCCTCAAGACCCCTAACACCTTGCTCTAGGATGTCCACCGAGTCACAGAGGGAAAGCATGAAACTGCTTAGGGAAGAACGTTTGTGGTCAGTGGGAATGAAGCCCCCGCAGGACGCCTGGGAGTCAGGGAAAAGGAGGGGAGGAGGTGGACAAGGCTGCGCAGAAAAGAAGTCTGACATGCCCTCTCCAGGGCTCTGCCAGCATCCCCAGGCCTGGTGCCAACCCCATTGGCCAGCTGTCCCCCAGGGGCTACAAGTAGCCCAGTGTTGTCCCTCTAGTGAGCCCACAGAGCTGGACTGCCGGGAAGGACAAACCTTTCTCTTGGAATTGAGCAGGGACTGAGTTTCCCAGAAGCCCAAGGCTTTTTACTGGAGTAAATGTCCAGTCCTTGGCATCTCGTTCCTGTCTACTGCTAAGAAACGAAGTCTCCCCTGTAGCCTGGACTCTGGCTGTAATGCCCATCAGCGTCCTCCCTGTTGGCTGCCCTAGCACCCAGCTCCATGGCAGGCTCCACAGGGAAGCAGGCAGCAGGGCACGAGGCCTTGGCTACATGAGTAGTCCTGGGGCCGGTACCCTCTCCCCACCCCAGGCCAGCCTTCAGATGAGTCCACAGCCCCAGCTAGCCGCTTCACTTCAGCCCCGAGACCTCAGGCCAAACGCCCTGCAGAAGGGACTGAGCTGTCTCCCCCTGGCTACTCCAGGTCACACGCTTGCCCACCGCCCATTTTACAGGTGATAAGTCTGACGCCTCTGCTCCGGCCTGCCCTCTGTTCCCAGGGCCCAGCACCTGGGGTTTGACCAGCTGGTGGGCAGTCAGGCATAGAGACAGTGGGAGGGTCTGACTCTCCCTCCCTGGGTCTCGCTTCCCCCTCCTCTGAGGTGAGCTGGGCTCCTCTGAAGGAGGAGGTGAGGCGGCTCTGGGCAGTACTGAGATCTCTTTCTGAGGGGCCTGAGTCCTGCCTCTCCCAGGCCAAGGGCCACCTCTGCTGGCCACTTTCTGCCTGGCACATTCTGGGCAGCACGTCTTTAGTTGGGGAGGGTGGCAGGAGTTGAGTTGGGTGTCAGGGAACATGTCAGCGTGGGATCCAGGCAGCAGGTATGAGCCCAGTGTTCACCTGCACCCCAAAGCCCTTGCCCTGTGTCCCCGGTGTCCTCCCCTCTGCTCCTGCAGCAGTGCTCAGCTGTCCCACCTCATTCCACCCCGGCATGTGCACACACTCAGGCCTCACCCATCCTCCACGCCTCCGCAGCCAGGTCGCCAAGGTCTTGCGCACAAACTCCCCCAGGCAGTCGACCAGGGCGTGAACCATGGCAGGCTGGGCCTGCCGCACGCAGTCCACGGCCAGTCCAGCGGCCACTGCATACAGGGATACCACTTTGCCCCAAGTGATGCCTGCAAAGTGAGACCATCTCTGGTGAGCGGAGGCAAGCCCACCAAGACCCAGCTCCAGTCCAGAGGGGACCAAGGGCTCCACAGGTCAGGTGAAGGGCTGTTCTCCCTGAGCTGCTTGCCCATCTGCCGTCAGCTGGTGACCAGGGATAGCAGCAAGGGGGCCGGGGACACCCCAGCCAGCTGACCACCTAGTATAGGCCTGCCCATCATCTCCAGAGTGCTAGTCCTGCCCATCAGAAGTAGGCAGTCGCCACTGCGTACCTGCCCAAGCCCACGATGAAACCTGCCCAGCCACGTCTGATAAAAGGGATGGCAGTGCAGCCAGGCACAGGCGGCTACCTTGATGCTGGACAACAAAATCAGGGGACCAGTTCAAGGGTGCATCCATCCCTGGTTTGTATGTTCCTCTGGAGCATGCCGTGAGGACAGCAGGACAGTTTAGAAAGAAGCCTGGACCCCCAGAGGAGTCTTCCCCAGACCACGGACCTCCTGGGAGCCAGGACTGAGACGGGCCGCCTCGGAGGAAAAGACAGATGAACAGTGGTGTGGGGAAAGGACACCTGCAAATCATGATGCATTCCTTAACGCAGGGGCACAGAACGTGACTCACGAAAGACAAGGATTAGGGCTGGGAGTGTGGCTCAATAGCAGAGCCCTGCCTACCAAATGCAAGGCCCCGAGTTCAAACCCCAGTACCACCAAAAAAAAAAAAAATTTTTTTTAAAAAAGCCAAGCATGGTGGTGAACACCTGTAATCCTAGCAGGTGAGAGGCTGAGGCAGGACGATAGAAAATTTGAGGCCAGCCTGGGCTACAGAAAAACATGTCTTAAAAAAAAGAGAGGGAGCTGGGTGCCAGTGCTCACACCTATAATCCCAGCTACTCAGGAGGAAGAGATCAGGAGGATGGTGGTTCAAAACCAGCCCAGGCAAATAGTTCACAAGACCCTATCTCAAAAAAAAACCCATCACAAAAAAAATAGGGGGCCAGTAGAGTAGCTCAAGGCATGGGTCCTGAGTTCAGTACCATAAAAAAAAAAAAAAAGAAGTGGGGGAGGGGCGCTGGCTCATGAGTTCAAATGACAGGACTGCCAAAAAAAAAAAACACATTACAAGGTACAAATACCAACACATTCAGACATACGTAAAAGTGAAAACTCTTTGCTCACTATCTTTCACAATCAGAAAGGCAAATTAAAACAAAATGTAGCCAGGTGCTGGTGACTCACATCTGTAATCCTAGCTACTAGGGAGGCTGAGCTCTGGAGGACTGTGAGTCGAGGCCAGTCCAGGCAAACAGTTGGGAGACCCCATCTCCAAAATAATCACAGAAAAATGGACTGGAGGAGTGGCTCAAGTGGTAAAGTGCCTGCTTGGCAAGAGCAAGGCCCTGAGTTCAAACCCCAGTCCCACCAAAAAATAAAAAATAAAAACTGAGAAGTAGATCGTGATCTAAGGTGTTGAGAACTTGTAAAGTCAACAAGGGTCAGTACTGCTTGACCTCGGCTTTGCTGAGCACAGTGCCCGGTCCTGGTCCTGGGGGCCATCTGAAGGGCCACAGAGCAGACAGGCAGGCCCAGTCCTATAGGCAGCCAGCCTAAGAAGCAGTGTTCACAAAGACTACGGAATCCCCTCAGCCCACTGTCACCTCTTGTCACTGACTTGTCCGCAAGTGTTCTCTGCAGCCTAAAGCTGGACACCAGCGAGACGCCCTTCCGTGGGTGAACGGGCACACGGAGTAACCCTCGGCCACGAACAGGAATCAAAGTTCTGATGTGAACCACACACCGACAAGGCTCAGAACCACGCGAAGTGAAAGACGCGGACAGGAAAGGCCACGTGGACTATGAGTCCTTTTGTGCGAAATGTCCAGACCAGGCAAATCCAGAGCAGACTGGCAGTGGCTGGGGGACAGGGAGTGACTGCTAAGCTGGTGGGCACAGGGTGCCCCCCTGAGTGAAGAACTCCTCACGACACTGACTGTGCCAAACACCACCGAGCTGTACGCTTCGGAGGGCTAATCGTACGAACGGGGTGTGAGTTTCACCTTAACGAAGAGAAATGAAACAAAATCCTGACGTCAAACGACGTCACTCCCCGCCCCAGCTCCCACTGCTGTTCTTTCTAACTAAATCCAAGTCAAATCCCAGCTAAGCTAGCCCATCCCCGCGTCACTGGCACCCGAGTCACAGCTCCCATCTGTGTGCCCTTGGCTCACGTGAGAGTTCACATAGATGGGCCTCGGGACCTGGCATCGGGCCATCCGTGTCGCTTGCAGAATACCTCGTTCTGAGGCCCTCACGTGGACAGAGGATCGGGGTGTCCCGTTAAAGAAGAGTGCCGCGTGGGGGCGAACACATGCCCGTCTGGAGCCCGCCGGGTGGTGTCCTGGGCCTGGGGGAGGTCCTGCCTTCTGTGTTGGTTTTAACTGAGCTCTCACACCATCACCAAGTTACTCTTTGTAAAGTGAAGTTGTCAACTTCAGAACAATGTCATCACCCTAAAAGAAACCTGTCCCAGTTGGCAATCACTCTCCCTTTCGCCTCAGCCCAGCCCACTTCTTTTTTTCTTTCTTTCTTTCTTTCCTTCCTTCTTTGTGCAGTACTGGACTTTGAACTCAGGGCCTATCGCTTGCCTTGCTAGGCAGACTCTCTTACCACTTGAGCCAAGTCACCAGCCTTTTTTGTGATGGATTTTTCAAGATAAGAGTCTTGCGAACTATTTGCCCAGGCTGGCTTCGAACTTCAATCCTCCTGACCGCTGTCTCCTGAGGAGCTAGGATTACAGGAGTGAGCCAGAGGCACCCAGCAGCCCCAGCCGCTTCTATTCCGCTTTCGTCACTACAGACATTTGCTACAAACACAATCATACAATGCCTTCCATCTGTCTCGAACATACAAGTTGTCTCTCAAGAGGTTCAGCTAACACTGCAGCCTGGCCTCGCTCCTCTTTGTGGTTGAGCAGTATTTCACAGCCATGTGGACACACGAGTGGTTTCTACCGTTTGGCTGTGATGACTAGTGTGCTACTATGGACATTCATGTGCAAATTTCTTTTTCTTTTGGTGGTGCTGGGGTTTGGACTCAAGGCCTCAAGCTTGCTAGGCAGGCACTGTGCTACTTGAGCCGTGTCCCCAACCCTTTTTTGTGTTGGGAATTTTTAAGATAGGGTCTCGCAAACTCTTTGCCTGGGCTGGCTTGGCACCGTGGTCCTCCTGACCTCTGCCTCTCGAGTAGCTAGGATTACAGGTGTGAGCCACTGGCTCCCAGCTCGTGTGCAATTTTCTGTGTGGACCTAGGTTTGCTTTCTCTTGGCCTACACCTAAGAGGTCTGGCAGATTATATGGGGACTCCATGTTTGAGCATTTGAGGAACTGGAGCTGACTTCACACTGCCACCAGCCACAGCCACGGCCATAGGTGAGGGTTCTGGCTCCTCCACCTCCTCACTAACTTGTCTGTAGTTACCTGGCCTTCCATCCCACCAACCTGGAAGTGTGGAGTGGTTCTGACTTGCATTTCCCGTGACTGACGACGTCGGACACCTTTTCACGAGCTCTTCTTTTTCTTTTTCTTTTTTTTTTTTTGGGGGGGGCGTTTTGCCCTTTTTTCTTGCAGTGCTGAGCGTGGCACCCAGAACCCAAGCCTGCCAGGCAACCACTCTACCACTGAGCTACAGCCCAGCGCTGCTTACTGGTCACATAGACATCTTCGTTGGAGAAATGACTTCGCCAATCTTCTAAAGGGAGTATCTCATTAGCATTGATTTTTAAGAGTACTTTCCATATTTTTTGTGTATTTTCTGATCTTTCTGTGGTACAATAATTTGCTCTTAAAATCAGGAAGAAGAAATGAAAGCCACTGCTAACTTTTAATCAGAGAGGGAAAGTAAGCTTGTACACTCATAGGAACTTTGAAATCCAAGGAGAAAACACAGCCAGAAACAGCTGGCCTATGCCTTCCCCCTTCCTGAGCAGCTCAGCTGTTCTGCCACCTGGGGCTGGGGACAAGGAGGGGCCAGCACGAAGCCTTGCCCTGCAGCTCTCAAGCTGCCCACATCACCAGCCACAGCTCCTGTCCTGACCAGAGCCAGAGAAGATGCAGGCTGGGCAGGCTTCCCTGCAGAAGCAAGACGTGGTGGCCTGTACCCCCCAGAGAAGGACCACCCCAAGGGTCAGAGTGTGCAAAGCTGTGGTACCTCAGGGCTGGGACTTGCCCCATAGGCAAAAGGGGCCTAAAGACCACGAGAACTGGGAAGGATCAAGGCTGGCCTGTGAGTGGGTACAGCCACAAGCTGGTCTGAGGGATATAAGCAGCTGAGGTTCACAGGTTAAGAAACCTGTTGTGGGCCCCACAGTCCATGAATGAGGGCTGCTGCCTTGGGCCCAGGCCTGCCTGGCTCCCCACAAGTCAGGCCACAGTGACCAGATGGGGATGTGAACACTGCCATGAGACACAAGAGGGCAAGCCTGAGGAACTGGGGCGGGGGCTGCTGACCTCAGAGGGCTTTACCCCAGTTTTCCAACACAAACCACAGGTTCAAACTAAACTATGAAAGAAGCAGGCCACTTTTTGGGAGGAAGGCCTCTGGTACTACCTGGTCCCTAGCCAGCTGGCTGGCCACACTTCATCTCCATGGCTCCCCTCCTCACCCATGTTTCCCCTGTCATCAGACCCCCAGGGTCCCTCTTCTGTCCATCCCCATGGGACACCCTCCCCTCCCCGAGCCAGCACCTCTCTGGACTGCCTCCCTGCTCAGGCTGGTCCTGCACTGGGTAAGGCTGGGCAGGAAGGGGGTGGGGCTACTGCATCCTGGCCCTAGCCCCAATCCCCTGCTCACACCCTCTGCCACCCAGAGCCCCAGCCCTCCTCCTGCTTCACAGCCACCAGGCCAGAGCTCCATTCCCAGAAGCAAATGTTCCCTCTAAATCCAGCCTGTGGTTCATAAACCGGCCTGCCTGACAGGCTAGAGACAGACGCCCAGACGGCCACCCACAGCCAGCGTCAGCAGGAAAGCCCCTGGGAGGGTGAGGGTGATCCTCAGCCCAGGATGCCTGGCAGCTCAGTCCTGGCTTCCTTCCTTAGCTCCACTGGCTGCCTCCTCCACCAGGCGCCTGCCTGGTCACCCTCAAAGGAGGGGCTGTGACTTCACTACCAGTTTCTGTGCAGTACCCCCGCCCATCTTCCCTACCTCCCCACCCCACTGCCTACATACCCACCTGCTCCCCAGAGCCCAGCCTCCTCACCCCTGTGCTCACTGTGCAGGGGCCAAAATTGGCTAGCCCTGGTCACATGATGCCCCTCAGCCCAGCCTGGACCCTTGCCTCCCACATGTCATACATGTGGACTAAGTATGTCCAGCAGGGTTTCAAGGAGGGGACAGACGACAGGAGGAGGTCTTGGGGACAAGCCCTTCAGTGCCCTGTAAGCCTTTCATGGTGTACAGAACAGAGCAGCAAGAGTCAGACTTGAAGTAGGGCAAGTGGGAGGAGGCTGCAGGAGTTGCTCCAGAAGCTGCTGTCTCCTGCTTCTGAGCAGGAGATTTGCAGGTGAGTGTGAGCACAGTGAGAGGAGACAGGCGTGCCCCTGGTCTCCTAGGATGTCCCAGCACCCTGTTTGGGATGTTGGCTTCTGGACACACCCCACTGGGATCGAGCGCCACGCTGTGGAGCTTAAGCCTCACGGTGGCAGCCCAGCCCCATCTGGCCAACGTCCCCCGCAGCCCAGGTAGTGCGCGTCCCCAGCCCTGCAGAACGTGCAGCCCTGGCGGATACTGGACCTCGACAACCTGACAAGCCAGGGTCCAGCAGCCCTCAGAATCACAAAAGGCTGTGGTTTACACAGCTCCAGAGGACCCCAGATTCAAGGCACTTGGCATTCCCTGCAAGCCTGCCCTTACCCACAAATGCTAGCCCTCCTTGGGGTACCCTGGATGGGCTGACCAGTCCTACCTGCAGAGAAGATGTGTCCTGCCACAGCCAGGAACGCATCAGTCACCACGGGCTCAGACTGCAGAGAGATGTGTAGCTGGCGGGCCACATTTCGGTACACGCTGGGCCGAATCTGCTCCAGCTCATCCCCTGTGTGAACACATTGGGGGTCAGAGCCACACACCTCAGCCTCCGTGGCCACAACTGCCCTTGACACCATGGTCTCACTTGACCTCCAGGCTTGATCTCCACCCCATCCCCACTTCTCCCCATCTGGCTTCACTTGTTACCCCCCACCAGTTGTGCATCCTCGGGCCCTAGGGACAAAGAGACCAGGGAAGTGCTATGGGGACCCCCAGTTCTGCCTGTGGTGCCACCCTTGCCCTGGGGCCAAGCTGGCTAGGCCGGTGGGGTGGGAATCCTGCAGAGGAGCATGGGCCATGCCTGTTGGGTGACTCATACAAGTAGCCTAGCTGCTCAGGCAGCAGGAGGGACCGGGCAGGTGGTCACACCCTTACCTGTGGAGGGGCTAGCGGGGAGACCCCCATGAGGCTGAGGGGCTTGTACCCAGGTGGGCAACTCCCCCTGGCTGCCTCACAAGGGAGTCTTGGCTCCGGCTTCAGCATCACTTGATGATGGATGGTTCAGTAAACTGACCTGGAGAGGCTGAGCCATGGCGCTGGGCCATGAGCTCCACCCAGCACAACCTGGACTCCTGGTGCCAAGTGGGTGTGTTTGGATGTGGCACCCTGTCAGCCCAACTGCTCCCTCCTCCAGCTGAGGAAATGCCTCCCACAGGCCTGCCTGTGTGCTGCAGCACCCTTGCCAGCCAAGGGCAAACAGTAGGAAGACAGGGCTGGGGTTTCCAACAGACTCAGATTGGGAGTCCCTGGTCCAGCCACTTCCCCAGCCAAGGCAAACAGGGAAATGCTGCTGAGTGGACCAACCCACCGATAAGAGTGCCCACATCATTCCGGAGGCCGGCTGTGCCCCATCTACCTAATTAAAGTTAACCAGAGCAGAACCAAGGGGCCAGCCAGGGGACAGGGCATGACATGGAAATTCCCAGGGCTGGCCTGGTTGTTCCCAAACACAGACTCTTGGGACCTGTGAGGACTGGCCCTGGGAGACTGGCTGTGGGGACACAGCCTAGGCTGCTTCGTGTCTGTGGCTGTCCGAGGGACTTGGGGGCACTCTGGAGGTTGTAGAGATAACACCAGACCATGGAAGAATTCACCCTGAGCCCCTGGGACAGCAGAATGCAGCAAATGAAATAAAACCGAGAACCCTGAGATCCAAGCTGCCTCCTTTTGGGGTCTCCTTTAGCTGTCTGTCAGCTGAGCACCAGGTCCTGGATGTGGCAGGGTTGGGCAGTAGAGAAGGGCCTTGAGGCCCTACTAACGAGAGGACCAGCGTCAGGCACTCAGCTTGTACTGGCTCCCCCAGCCCTGGTAAAAGTGTCTAGGGCTCTCAGGGTGGCACAGAGAGGTCTGAGGGGACAGAAGCCGGCCTGGTCATATAGCAGTCCAGGGCTAACGCAGGAGTCTGGGGACTTTCAGGGGACCCAGGACTCCAGAGCACCCAGGAGTCCTCTCCAGAGCACCCTCTGCAAGGCTCCCTTGGGGTCTTCAACCAGTGGGCACAGATCTCATGGAGTCCTACTAAACAGACCAGATGCCTGGCCAATTCCCAACCCCCGCTCATTCGGGCCTCTCTCCATACCCAGGGCTCTCCCCTCCTGTTCTCAGATGGGACACCATCCCATACCAGAGTCAGCCCACGAGGCCAGGTGTCTCCTGTCATGGACACTCTCTCTTCTGACCCCAACAGGGAGCTAGCTTCCCCTGCACCAGTTCGGGGCTTTGTTTTTTCTGTTTTTTTGTGGAACTGGGGCTTGAACTCAGGGCCTACACCTTCAGCCACTCCACCAGCCCTTTTTTTGGGGTGGGTTTATTTCCAGATAGGGTCTCTTGAACTATTTGCCTGGGCTGGTTTTGAACCACGATCCTCCTGATCTCTGCCTCCTGAGTAGTTAGGATTAGCGGCATGAGACACCGGCACTTAGTTGGGTTCAGGGCTTTGCCTTTGCTGTCACCTCCCCTTCCCTGGCACATCCACAGGCCCCAGTCTGGCTGTGGTGAGGCAGTCCGAACAGAGTCAGAGTTTGCCTCCACCTCCCTCTCATGTGTCCAGATTTTGGAGAAAGTGACCCCAGAAACAAGTGCCCCACAAGTCTTCCCAGGGGGCCTGGGAGGCCTCCAAACCGAGGGGAACCAGCAGTGGGTGAGGATTTCAGCCAGCAACTGAAAGACCTATTCTCCAAAACAAACATGAGCACACGTGGTCCCACAAAGGATTTTTGAGCCCAGCTGAGTACAAGGGTCAGTCTGCAGTCTAGTCGCCAAAGGACTGCTTTCCAGTCAGAACTTCCTACAGTTTATGGCCAGGATGTCTAAAATCCAGCTTTCCCTGCGCACGTGAGCTGGGGGTTGGGGGCCTGCCATGTGAGCCAGCATGCAGGTAGGCCTGAGAGGGTGGGACAGGGGAGCACAGGCCTGGTTGGCCCGTCCTGTGCCCTGGCCATTCCAGACAGACTGGGGCACCCGAGCCAGCCCCCTCTGCCCCCGAGGGAAGGCGAGGCCCAGCGGCGGAGGGGGCTGGCCCGATGGCACGACGGGCGGGTCAGGGAAGGACAGGCCGATCCTTCGGGGAGGGGCGGGCTAAGCGGACGCGCCAGCCAGGGTCCCTTACCCCCCACACGCTCACCTAGGCGCAGCAGCACCGCGCACACCTCGGCCAGGCGGCCGCCGGGGGCCGGGGCGGCGCGCTCCGGCGCGCTCCAAGCGAGGCCGGCGCGCAGAAGCCGCGCGTGCACGTACTCCCGGCCTAGCGCCTTGGCCTGGGCCACCAGCTCCTTGTCCGTGGGCGAGCGGTCAAAGGCGTCCATGATCTCCGCGGCGAAGACCGAGGAGCGCCGCAGCACCTCCATGACCGGCACGCGGGCAGGGGGCGCCGCACCTGTGGACAGACAGACAGCGCTCGGTCGGGCGCACCCCGCCGCCCCTCCCCAGGCTGGCGAGGGGGAGGCCGGTGAAGCGCGGAGACGGGGAATGCGGGCGGCGGGCGCAGGGCACGGCCGTCCCCACCGCGTGCGCCCCGATCGGTCGCGTCCGCGCGCGGAGTCGGGGCGCACCAGGAGGCCGGGCTGGCTGGGCGCGGCCCTCGGGAAGGGCCGCGGCGGGCTGCGAGTGACCTCTTCATTTGTGGCCCAAGCCTTTTACAACGCCGTGTGACATTCGTTTAGATTCACGCAGTTCCCCGCGGCGGCACCGCGCTCCAAGGCGAGTGTGGGGGCGGCGGGGCGCGGGTGAAGGGCACCGCCCGGCCCTGCGCTCGGAGCGAGGGCCGCCGGGACCCCAGCCCCGCTGGCGAGTGGGCGCCCGGGACAGGCTCCGAACTGGGCGGTGTCCCTCGGTGCCGGGGCCACCCACTTCCACACCCCGCGGCCACGGTGTTTGTCCCCGACCTCGGCGTTCCCATGGCGAGGCATCCAGGGCGCGGACGCCACGCCCGCCTCGCTCACCTCATGTCGCGGGCACCGGGGCCGGGATGGAGGTCTGGCTTCAGGAGCGGCGCGCCGCCGTCCCCGCCGGACTGGTCCTTTCCATTCAAACCCGCGAGGACGCGCGCCCCGCCCCGGCGCCCGCCCCGTCCACGCCCGAGCCCGGAGCGCAGGGTCCGCGCGCGCTCGCCGGGGTTGTGGTGCCTGCGAGGGGACCAGGGCGCACGCCGGCGAGAGGCGAGGCTTGAGGCTTCTCCTTCTAAGGAAAAGGCAGCCCCCGGGGGCGGGGCCCTGGAGACGGCCGAGCTTACCCCACGCCTCCCGGCTTAAGGAGGACCAAGCGAGTTCCCAGGATGCGCCCCGGGAAGGAGGCCGGAGGGGAGCTGTTCCCACGTGGCAGAGCCATTAGGACGCAACTCTAACCCCAACCGGCTGGGTTCACGCCAGGCTCCCTTTGAGCACTGAGTTACTTATCCTTTGCTTATTGATTTGTGGACGTTCTTTATATGTTCAGGATCCTTAGTGAAGACGTGGCAAATAGCCTTTCTCTGGTTTGCTTTTGCTTTTGCTCAGCAGGGGCTATTCATAGTCAAGGCCAATTTATCAATGTTTGCTTTTGTGGTCAGTGCTTTTTCATTAGGGTATTTCCTGTGCTTCCCCTCTCCCCTCCCCCACACACACCCGGACCGACCTCAAAGCCTCCCGTGCCAGGCAAGAGCTCTAGCACTTGAGCCCACTTGAGCCATGTCCCCAGCCCTTGTGCGTGTGCGTGTGTGCGTGTGCGTACGTGTGTGCGCGCGCGTGTGTGTGCGTGTGCGCATGTGTGTGCGTGCGTGTGTGTGCGTGTGTGTGCGGTTCTAGGGTTTGAATTTAGGGCTCTGCATTTGCAAGGCAGGCACTTTACCCTTGCTCCACACCCCCTGTCCATTTTGCTCTGGTTATTTTTGGGGTGTTTGAAACCAATGTTTCCCTGGACTAGCCTCGAACCATGATCTTCCTGATCTTAGCCTCTCAAGTAGCTAGAATTGCAGGCATGAACCACCAGCGCCCAGCTTCCTTTTTGTTTCTGAGATAGGGTCTCAGGGTATTTTGCCTTTGCCTGGCCTGGAACTCCTGATCCTACCTCCACCTCCCAAGTAGCTGGGATTACAGTTGTGCCCCACCACACCTGGTGTCTCCTACGCTTACTTTTAGAAGCTTATTTGTGGCCTGAGTGTGTCACTCAAATGGCAGAGCCTAGGTAGCACAGGGCCCTGAGTTCAAATCCCAGTACTACCAGAAAAAGAGAGAAAAAAGTTTGTTTCAGGTTCACATTTAGATCTGTGAAGTCTCATACATTAATTTTCGCTAATGGTGTGGTAGAGAGTCAGAGCTCATTTTTTTCCATATAGATTTCCAACTAACCCAGCATTACTTTTTGAAAAGCATCTTATGTAAAGATCTGTTCTTAGACTCTTCTGTCCTGCTGCTCTGTTTCTGTGTCTTTGACCCAACCTCACACAGTTGGAACAACACAATGCACCAACTTGACCTACTTCACATATATAGAACATTTCAATGTCTTAGCACCTGTAAAATACACACTCTTTCAACATGTTCATAGGATGTTTATCAAAGTAGAGCATATCCTGGACCTTAAGCAAGGGTCAGCAAATTTCAAAGAACAGAAATCATACAGTGTGTCCTGTCTGAATTACAGTAAACTAAATTCAAAGCCAGGCCCAAGTGGCTCACGCCTGAGGCAGAGATCAGGAAGGTTGTAGTTTGAAGGCAGCCCAGGCAAATAGTTTGTGAGGCCCTCCCTCAAAAATGCCCAACGTGAAAAAGGGCTGGCTACAGCACCTGCCTAGCAGGCATGTGGCCATGAGCTCAAACCCCAGCACCACCAAAAATAGAAAGCACAAATTCCGCTGTCAGTAATGAAAACAGAACATCTTTACAAATACTGTAAGCTTTGAAAGGATAATAAACCCAATGCTGGTGACTCATGCCTGTAATCCTGACTACTTGGGAGGCTGAGATAAGGAAGATCCAGGTTCAAGACAAACCTGAGCAAATACTCTGAGAGACCCCATCTCCAAAATAACCAGAGCAAAGGGAAGTAGAGCAGTGGCTCATGTGGAAGAGCACTTGCTGTGCTAGTGGGAAGCCCTGAGTGCAAAACTCCAGTCCCACCCCACAAAAGAAGAATAAGAACATAGTATGAACCATTTTATGACAGTAAATTAAAATTTTTAAATGAGACGTTATTTACCAAAATTGACACTAGAAGAAATAGAAAATCTGGATACTCCTATACCAACTAAATAAACTTAGTCCATAATTTAAAACTTCCCACAGTGAAAATTCTAGTTTCAGAGAGGGCTCATTGAGGAATTATTCTTATTGGTTGAAGAAATACACCAATCTTTCACTTTTGCCTCTGGCCAGATCTGTGTAAGAACACTTCCCAGATCTTTTTGTGAGGACAACCTAGCATTGTTATCCAGACCTGTCACGTGCAGCACAGAGGCCAGGAAGCCATGAGCCTATCTGCTGCGGCTCCCACTAGAGAACAACTCCACCCTCCCCGGGGTTGACAGAGGACGACCCGGCTCACGTGAATAATTGTAGTAAGTGCTCGGTTGTTGTCAGCTGTGTTTGCAGAAAACCCGCACAGCGGTAGAATGTGTGACTTTGGGGGGGTGCGGTGATGGTTTGAACTCAGACCTTTGCGCTTGCAAAGCAGGAACTCTACAGCTTGAGCCACACCTCCAGTCCATCTTGCTGTAGTTATTTTTGGAGATGGAGATGGAGAGTGGCTTCAAACCGCAGCCTTCCCAAGCTCAGCCTCCTGAGTCTCCAGCACTCAGCCGAGAGCGCATTTTAATGAACTGTTTTTTTTTTTTTTTTTGGTGGGACTGTGGTTTGAACTCAGGGCTTAGCGCTTGCAAAGCAGATGAACTATTGGCCTGGGGTGACTTTAAACTGAGATGCTCCCAACGGCAGTTCTGGGTAGCTAGGATTATAGGATTACAGGCATAAACTTGTATGAACGGCTTAATGAACTCTTTCATGCAGAGTTGAGCTCTGTGGACAGAAAGCACTTAGACACGCACTCAGGCTTAGGATTCCCTGTACTGTATAGATAAAAATATAGAAGTTCAAAGAGGGAAAGAGACTTACCCAAGTTATGGCTGAAAGACTGGGCCTAACCAGTCCTGAACCTTGGAGTTTGACTCTAGGTCCCCAGGGTACCTCTGTCAGGGGAAGAGCTACAGCCTGAAGCCCTAAGCCAGGGCCTCACACCTGCTTCCTCCCCCCGTGTAGCCCCAGGGCAACTTCCGGCCCTACTCACAGCCTATTTTCTCCCTTGCCAAGTGGAATCACACTCTGGACTTCCTGGCTCCTGCCGTCTCCTGAGCTCTGCCCATGTGGCCATGGTGAGTCACTGGGCATACATTACAGACACAGCCCCTTTAGTCCAGAAGGCAGAAACCAAGGCAAAGCTGATCTACCGAAGCTCAGTGCAGAAGGTTGGTAGCAGAGGAATCGGAAATGACTTATGTGTTTATCAAGAGAAGATTAAACGATGTGACCACAAACCTTTATCCGGACACCCAGGTCCTGTCTTCTGAGGCCTAGAGGTGGCTGATCTGAGCTGCTCAGTCCCAGCCCTGCCCAGGTCCCCAAGAATGCTCTGACTTCCAGCATTCCTTCACTCACACTCATCCCTAGGCCCAGGTTTTGTGTTCTGTCTGCAAAATTCTTCCTCTGCATTCTTTTTTTTGTTTTTGGTGGTACTGGGAGTTAAACTCAAGGCTTCACACTTGCTAGGCAGGTGCTCACCCCCCCCCACCATCTTATTTGCTTTAGTTATTTTTCTAATAGGATCTTTTTTTTTTCATTTATTCATATGTGCATACAATGTTTGGGTCATTTCTTCCCCTACCCTCTGCCCTCTAATAGGATCTTGAGTTCGTGCCCAGGCTGGCCTGGACTGAAATCCTGCAGAGCTGGGGTGACAAGTGCACACCACCAAACTCAGCTTTTATTGAATGAGATGGAGTCTCAAGAACTTTTTGCTGGGACTAGCTTCAAACCTCAATCCTCCAAACCTCAGCCTCCTGAGTGGCTGGGATTAGAGGCATGAGCCATCATGCCAGACCTTCTTTCCATTCTTGTCTTGAATATTACCCCTCTGTCTGCCCCAGTGTTACCCCAGAATAGAACTCAATCATTCTGAGTGCTATACCAGCCCAAACTGCCTCAGGCATAGGGAGATTTATTGACTTGAATGAATGAAATGTCCAGGGACTTCCACTGTTTCAAGAATGGCTGGATCCAGCAGCCTCTCCTGCCATCTGTAGATCAGTGGTCCTCTGTGGTGGCTGTCCTGGAATAAGTGCAGGATAATGACAAAGATCCCTGTCTACACCCCACAAATTCAGTCTCTGACAGTGGGGGAAAAAAGTCCAGACCTGGGTCAGTCATGAGACACCGCTCCTACCAGTGGAGTCTTGGGGAAGTTTCTGGAAACCCCTTTCCAAGTCCAGTGAGTCCCACCCTGGGGTAAAACCACTGCCCTTACCAGCAAGCCACATGGGGGATAGTGGAGGGGTGGCCAAGCAGCTGTCCAGCCTGTAGGTCACACAGCAAGCAGGTGAGTGAGCAGTATGGAGCCCTGGGACTTTGTGCTGACCGCCTCGTTCAGAGCTGTTCCATGGCACTCACACCGTTCTTTCCCCCACTGAAGTCATGCAGACAGCTTGACACCTCCCCTTGGATCACCTTGGGCAGATTTGGACCACCAAGCAGGCAGTCCTGCCTTGAAGTTTCACCCTGGTGGGCTTGTGGGGACCCTACCCTAGGTTTGTCCTTTTCAGGTCAGATCTGCTTCGGGTTGCAACAGAAGACATCCTCACCAGGTGACAGGTGACAGGCAGGAGAAGTGAAGTACAGGCTGTAACAAGCAGGATGCAAGTCTGTAATTCCAGCTTTGTAAGAAAAGCATGTCTTGGACAGACACACGGGGAGGAGACACATCAGAAGGAGAGCGGCACCACCACCCTCAGACTCTTTCCAGGGACTGCTCTGTCCCCTACAGCTGTGCAGGGGACACACCCCTCTGCCAGAACACAAGGCCCAGTCTTTGAACTCCCTGTCTATACAGCCCCAGCCGC